CCAGACAAAGAGGTGGTATCTATACCTTGTGGCTAATAGCCACTCATGGACTTCTGCTCCATATGCTTATCCAATCCCCTCTTGAAGCCGTCCATGCTTGTAGCTGCCACCATCTCCTGTGGCAGTGAATTCCATGTGTTAATCACTCTTTGGGTGAAGAAGTACTTCCTTTTATCTGTTCTATCCCGACTGCTCAGCAATTTCATTGAGTGTCCACGAGTTCTGCAGGTCACTGCAGATATGCCCTGAATATTGAACAGTCACATCGGGCACGTCTATAATCATATTTTTATCCCGCCCTCCCTGCCGAGGCTGCTCAGGGCGGCTTACAATACATACAAATAGATGCATACATTAAAACTCCACAATATACTAAGAACAAAATAAGTTAAAATCACAATATGTAAAACCGTTACTACTCAGAACATAAACCTAGTGCAAGATGGCGGCATTTTCTCAACGTTTGAATGGTCTCCTACCCCTACTCCAGGCTGTTGGTTGTCAGGTTGGCAATAATGTTGGTGTTGGTGTAAGGGCCAGGGCCATGATGTTAAAGGCGGCCCCCTAATTTAAAGCCTGGTGGAAGAGCTCCGTTTTACAGGCCCTGCAGAACTGCAAAAGGTGTCACAGGGCCCTGATGTCATCCTGGAGCTCATTCCACCAGTGAGGGGCCGCCACAGAGAAGGCCCTGGCCCTCATTGTGGCCAACCTGGCTTCTTTAGGTTCCAGGAGAGCCAGGCGATTTTGGGATCCTGATCTTAGTGCTCTCTGGGGGACATATGGGGAAAGGTGGTCCCTTAGGTAAGTAGGTCCCTGACCATATAGGGTTTTAAAGGTAAGAACCGGCACCTTGAATCGAATTTGGTGCTTTAAAAAAAAACTTTCTGATGGAAGGGACATGGCAGTAATGTGGGCGGGACTTTGGAAGATGCACACATTCCTAGGCAAACGGCCATGCTAACACTCTTGGACCACAGGTGGAAAAGCTGTTTTGGGAAAGAGCGTACCACTGGTGGGGACAATGACGACAATTAGAGCATGATTAGAGTATAACTTCACATGGATGCTCCAAAAATGCTCCAGTTTGGAAGCAGCCTTTGTGGCATGGAGTGTTCCAGACTGCTTCTTGCCTGCAATGTGGCACGGCCGAGTGCAAGCGACCCCTCAATAGCCGAAGGTGTCTGGAAGCATGCTTTCGGCACTGCAAAGATGACAAAAGGGAAGCAGAGCTTCATTATCAGCCCAGTTGCTGATAAATACAAAAAAGGGAAATCGATTGGCTTTGTGAGTAATTAGAGAGGTTTACCGCCTGGCCTCTGTGGAAAGCTTTATGTAGTTATTCATCTCCCCAGTAAATTAAAGTGTCAGGGCTGTTAGTTTTAGCACTAAATGCCATCTCTTATTTAAAACGGTATTTTAATGTCTCAGCGTTTAAATGTGGAGATCACAGCATATTTGCAAATAAAATGCTGCAGCTGCCCCATAAATAAATCTTCATCAGGTTGTTGGTGCTCGGGGGAAATAAGATCAGAACAAAGCTTGGGAGGCTCGCGAGAGAGATGCTTTGCGCAGAATGTGTTCCAAATGTCACATCAGTGTGGAACTTAAAACGTAAGAAAGGTAGAGTTACTCCAAAGTCGAGCATGGCATTGGGGAATGCTCTGCCGTGTGCCTGAAGGTCATCTCTCTCTACCTCTGTCCCTTCTTCAGGTCAGCAACCTTGGCCTCAGGGGTACACATGTGTTCCTGGAAAGCTAAGAGCAAATTGTACTGAGCACACATCCAGTGTTCCCTCTAAGCTGAGTTAGTGTGAGCTGGCTCACGGTTGTTTAGCCTCTGGCTCACGCATTTTTGTCCTCGCTCAGGAAGGGATGGCTCCAGAGCAAACTAATGTATGCAGCAGCCAAATCGCTCGCTCACAACTTTAATGCCAGTCGCTCACCAAGTAGAATTTTTGCTCACAAGACTCCACAGCTTAGAGGGAGCATTGCACACATCCATAGCTTTTTCCCTGGCAGACAAACAGCCATATATGAATTGTGTTCTGTAAGGCGCTGGAAGGCCCCCCTCCCTTTGCCAGCTTTCCAGCTCCATGACTGGGTCTGTCTTTTAATGCATTTCAATAAGCGTAGGCATTTGTTTGGAACTGTGCAGTTTATCCAGTAATGAGAAGAACAGAGTCTCGTGCCCACGCTTCTTTGCCCTGCTGCTGAACTTGTACAGTTGCTGGATTTGCTTGGCTGTTACCTGTTTTCATACCTTTAGCCGCTGTGACTGTTGACGCTTCATCATGGGGGCAGTCTTGCTCACGGCTGCTCATTTGCCACATGGAATCCAGTTGTTTCCCGTCAAAGAATGATACTGCGTTCTCCCGTGCTTTTTGCTGCCGAGTCGTAGCCGATCTATGGCAGCCCCCTGGGGTTTTCAAGGCAAGAGACGTTCAGAGGTGGTTTGCCCTCGCCTGCCTCCCCATAGCAACCCTGGACTTCCTTGGTGCTTGCCCATCCAAGAACTAACCAAGGTCGATCCTGTTCAGCTTCTAAGATCTGATGAGGCTGGGCTGGCCTGGAGACTTTTCCGGGTCAGGGCATTTTCCATACTCAGAATTATATTATTGCAGAGAAGATTCTCACTGGGGTGGCAAACCGGTGTCTGAGATGCAGGGCAGTGGGTTCTAATCTGGGGTTTCCATGACCTGCTGATTTTCTGTGGGTGGGGGATTTCAGTTATTATTTTTGTATCAAGGAAAAGCTTTTTAAGTTGGAGAAGTAAATCCCCCAAACCAGCCAAGGTGGTTGGGGATATAACAGCTTACTCATGCTTCAGCTATCCTGGCATACAGGCCAAGGAGTGGCCCAGTGGACTGTTTTGCTCAATGTGCAGGGGTGGGGACTCACAACTGGGGTCTCACAACAAAACAGTTGGGGACTCACAAAAAACTGAATATGCTCCAGGAGGCAAAGAACTTAAAGCACAACACACCTCTATATGTTCTGTGCCTCCTGAAGCATATTCTGTTTGGGGGATTTATTTCTTCTGGGGCAGGGGAACGGCATATTTATTTATTTGGAATATTTTCATACCGTCTTTCCACCCAATCAGGGTACACAAGGCAGCAAACATAAAGAAAAAAATTAAAACATTTGAACAATTAAAATACCGTTACAATTCAGTTAAAACCACATAAACAAACTGTTAAGTGTTGAACTCAACGCCGTCTCTTATCAAACAGTGATTCAGCTTTATTAAGTATTAAACATTCAGAGAACACACACACATACAGTGGAGAACAGCTCCTTTTTAAATTGTCCGGGCTGATGTAACCACGCCCCTAGTCCTGTTAAGGACCAATTACAATACAGGGATAACACCCAATCAGATCTGTTCCCTCCAGAACATCTCTCTTCATCCTGATTGGATGGTTCTACACAATAGCCAATAGAATTGTTGCATCTTACAATCCTTGACATGGTTTCAAGCTTAACATGTGTTTTAATACAGATCAAAACATAACACGAACCACACTAGAAGGAGGGCCAATAACCGTTACGAGGGGAAGGCCAAATGAAACAAGAAAGTTTTCACGCACTGGCAAAAGACACCAATAGAAGGGGACAGATGAATTTCCCTGGGGAGAGATTTCCAAAGTTTTGGTGCCATGACAGGGAAGGCCTTTTCTCGCGTTGCCGCCTCTCGCCTTGCCTGTGGATAGCCTGCTTTTGCCGCTTTTGCCATTGGCACCTGTCAAGGAGTTCCAGGCTGAACCTCATGGGTCCCCAGGACAATTGCACATAAGTAACCAGACTGTTGTTTAATTTATTAAAAAGATTTATAAATTTTATTTTCAATTTCTATCAATGTAACAATTTGTTCTGTAGCCAACATGTTACTCTAAAGCCATGCAGCAAGAAAACAAGAAAACTAGCTTAACTACCTAACACTTTTTAGAACTTACGTTAGATGGCACAAACCTTAAATTCAAGAGTCAGAGGCCAAAAGCTCAGGCATTCTCTACGTTGCTAGCAGGCCAGCTCATAGTTCAGGCCTTTAGTCAAAATCCCAGCTCATCTCTCTTCTTCAGGCCTTAGCTCAATTATAGCTTTTTGGGCCCTACATCAGGTGAGGATGACATCCAATCACAACACGTTTTCGGGAGAAGCCTCTAGAAGAGTATCGCCCCCCTCCCATCACACGGCCACAGGTTCTCATGAGAAGCTAATTACCGCACTCCCATCTCTGGCCTTGAAGGTGATAAGGGCTGTGTAGGCCAAGAGACCAATTAGTGACACCTGCAGGATGGACCAGGCCCGTTCCTGTTCACGTTAACCCTTGTGGGGAGGCCAGGGGTGCTTTGCCTCGCAGCACAGTGTCCAGCCACTTCCCTATTGTTCGGTATACTATCAATGGCAGATCAGCTGGCTTGTCCTGTCCGCTCCCAGCCTGAGCTCTGCTTCTCTCTTTGCACAGGTTAGTTCAGCTCAGCTTGGATCTTCCCTCCACAGCAGACCAGCCTCTGCTAACCCTGCTAGGGTTGCCAAGTTGAAAAATCTCCTTACCGGGGAACTCCCGATCTGCAGCTGGAGCGCGCGCACACCGCACGCACGTCACCAGGAAGTGACGTTATGACGCCGGGCACGCTGGGGGCGGGGCCATGACCATCTGAGGGAAAACCATAGAGTTTTCCCTCGGATGACCGTGTCCCCGCCCCCAGCATGCCCGGCGTCATAACGTCACTTCCTGGTGACGTGCGTGCGGTGTGCGCGCGCTCCAGCTGCAGATCGGGAGTTCCCCGGTAAGGAGATTTTTCAACTTGGCAACCCTAGCAGGGTTAGCAGAGGCTGGTCTGCTGTGGAGGGAAGATTCAAACTGAGCTGAACTAACCTGTGCAAAGAGAGAAGCAGAGCCCAGGAAGCCAGTCGAGTCCGACTCTAGGGTTGCGGTGCTCATCTCTGTTTCAAAGCCGAAGAGCCAGCGCTGTCCGAAGACGTTTCCGTGGTCATGTGGCCGGCATGACTAAACACCAAGGCGCACGGAACGCTGTTACCTTCCCACCGAAGTGGTACCTATTTATCTACTTGCAATTTCTTGCTTTCGAACCCTACTACTGACTAATAAGGGTTCTAGTTCCCTCCGTCTTCCACTTCCAGGGTAGGAGGTTGTATGGAGGAATGTTTAGATCATGTGAGTCACCAAACCAAAGCCCAGAAATGAGTTACCGGTGCACCAGAAGCTAGTCTGACGTCCCAAAGTTGGTTTCACCTCTGGCACGAGTCTTCTTTTCTTGCTGAGCATTTCTGCTGTCATGCTATGGGGTGCACATTGCTTAGCCTTTTAACGGCAAGGGAGGGGCAGAAGAATTTTTTAAATTATTAATCAGAAGCCTGGATGCCAGAGAGAACTGCTGTTGGTTTTTCTCAATGCCGTGTCTAGGTACCAAGATGCCGTTGATAAATACGAGACAGTGCTGAAAACGGAGCCCAGCGTCCCTGCTTATACCACACGTGCCAAAGAGAGAATCTGCCACTGCCTCTCCAAGGTAAAACGTTCATCCTTACCTTTGCGGGAATTCTGTGCAGCGAAACGAAGCAAACACTGACCTCTGTCTGTCTTCCCTTTCCCAGAACCAGCAGTCAGTGGAAGCCGTCAAGCTCTGCACTGAAGTTCTGCAGCTGGAAGGAGACAACGTGAACGCCCTCAAAGCCAGAGCCGAAGCGTACTTGCTAGAAGAGCAGTATGAGGAAGGTAAAGGTTGAAGGAAGACAGGCTGCATTCACTGTAGGTGTTTAGTTGTAGTGGGAACTCGCCAGCATGAGTTCGCGTGTCTGCCTTTTCGGCATCATAGAAACCTAATCTCACCAGGAACCTCTAGTTTAATGATGATTGAAGTACATCCAGGGCTATTTTTGGGCAGGAACGCACAGGAACGGAGTTCCGGCTGGCTCCCAAGTTGGCCACGCCCAGCAGGAACTCATTAACATAATAGGCCACACCCAACAGCAGAAACTCATTAGGATTGGCTACATTCGGGGTGTGTGGCCTAATATGCAAAGGAGTTCCTGCTACAAAAAAAGGCCCTGGGTTTATGGGTTTTGACAACAGACAAGGTAAACAGAATAAGAAGCAAAAGGTGGGTGTGGCTGGATAACGACACTTCTGGTAACATATGGGGTATGTGGCCTAATGTGCTAATGAGCTGTGCTGTCAGGGTTGTGGCCTAATATGCTAATGAGTTTCTGCTGTTGGGTGTGGCCTATTATGCTAATGAGTTCCTGTTGGGCTTTTTCTACAAAAAGAGCCCTGAATCTAACTTTATTGACCGGAGCAGTCACGCCACTGTGGAAGTGAACAAATAATTAGTCTCCAAAGTTCAGCGCTGTGAAAACCAGTTCTGCCATTCTTTTTCTTTTGGCAGAGGAAGCCAGGTATGCATAGCGCGGAGTGGATTGGCTGGTGCCTTTTGATGTCACAAGCCCATCCCGGTCCCTGAGCAGTTCTACAACCGGATTTTACTTCTGTAAAAACAACAGCAACAAAGTGATGAATTAGCGTTTCTGCTATGTTAGAAATAAAGAAGGTGAACAGGACACCTGACACAGGAGGAGAGGGGCAAGACGGACAACCCGTGCTTGAACTGTTAGTGGGCCCACCTTTCCAATGTAGTGGGATGAGCCCAAATTTCACTGTGTGAAGGGGGGAAGCAGAACCACAGCGAGTTTAGTCTAAAGGCACATTTGTGTACATCCTCATTGGCTAAGAAAACCTAGAAACTGTGACAAAATGGAACAGTGTGTAGGGAGACGGGGTGTGTATTTGTCTAGCAATCCCTGGCAGTGGGAACCAGGGGTTTTCAGAAGGTCCCCATGTCTCTCACCCTCTCAACAAGTCAGTTTTGTTGGAGCATGCTGACTGTGTGGTGCTGCGTCTCCTTACTTTCTCTTCAGTGAATACCCAGATAGGGAGCCCAGCGTGAAAGCCACCACAAACTCTGTGGACGCCCTTGTACGTTGCCTCTGCAGGGCAAGTAAAGAGTCAGGATATGCCGGCTCTTGCTCTGCACCCAGTGAGCCAATGCCTGGTCTCCTCTGTTCTTGTGGTGGTGGCAGCTGTCAGTTTCCTGAGCTACCAAAGGTGGGATGGGCCGCTGGACCAGCGAACTGCCACCAGCAGGGCAACTAGTCGGCGTAGAAGGGCCTCGTCTTGCATCGGGGTGCTCAGGCCTGGCACGACCGCTCCTTTATCTTGTGGCAATTGTGGCCTAGCAATCCATGGGCTCTTCTTCCCAGCCTCCTGCGTCACAGTATCGGGGACCAGAGACCGGAATGCGGCTTGTTGCCATTGTGCAGTAAACATAAAGGATTACCAGCGCTGTGTGTGTGTGTTTGTTTAAACTGGCATTTGAACCGAAATGCAGAACTCTGTCGGAATGGAGAGACCATATTTCATTCTTACATTTCAGTGCAAATGAGATTTATTGGGTTACAAAGAAGCAAATGGAATATTGAACAGGCTGGGTAAACAGGCTAGGACTGCCGTTCTTCCGCTGGGGGTGGGAACCGTCCTGCTTCCAGCTCCCATGGCCCACTGGCATCCTGGTGGCCGGTGGGAGGAAAATAATAATAATAAAATACCACTGTCAGGCAGCAGCATTACATCATTTCCAGGGGAAACGGCCTAAGGCAAGGTGTACCGTAAATTGTGGGGAAACTGGAGTTATTTCGGCAGAAGACGATGCAGAAAAGGAAGACAACACAATAAACAGTGCAGTAGGGTACAGTCCTTTTGGTCACATCATTAGAAGACAAGAATCATTGGAAAAGACAATAACGCTAGGAAAAGTTGAAGGCGGCGGGAAAAGAGGAAGACTCAAAATGAGGTGGATTGACTGAGTTAAGGAAGCCACGGCCTTCAGTTTGCAACAGTTGAACAAGGCTTTTATTGATAGGACATTTGGGGAGGTCATTAATTCACACAGTCACCATAAGTTGGGAGTGAATCGCTGGCACGTAACACAGGCACACACCATCTTATTCTGTTATATGTGCCCTCCTGGACTGTTCTGCTCTACTACATTTGCAATCTCTTTATAAAAATGGCCTCCCGATGAATAGACCCAAAGCCGCTTGTCCAGTTGCGTGCCGTAAAGTCACATGGATGAGATTTAGCTATCTTAGGTTTTAGGATTTTAAGTCCAGTGAGTAAGGTAAAGGTTTCCCTTGCTTGAAAGCCAGTCGAATCCGACTCTAGGGTTGCGGTGCTCATCTCCGTTTCCAAGCCGAAGAGCCAGCACTGTCCGAAGACGTTTCCGTGGTCATGTGGCCAGCATGACTAAACACCAAGGCGCACGGAACGCTGTTACCTTCCCACCGAAGTGGTACCTATTTATCTACTTGCAATTTCTTACTTTCGAACTGCTAGGTTGGCAGGAGCTGGGGCCAGAGACGGGAGCTCACTCCGTATAGCATCTTAAATAATGCATAGCTGTCAAAGGTGGCTCATCACCTTGAACAAACGATTATTCAGTATGCACATGTATTTGTGTTGTGTGACAGGGATGTAGAGCTATAGCACACAGAAAAGCCGTTAAAACTTCTTATTTTTCCATTTTTGTGTGATGTTTGGCTATCAGCTGTATGTCACCATAGGTTATGGAGAATGTTTCTGAACATACCACAGGCCAGGCTGGCATCAAATATTCATGTTAGTGCAGGGCTTTATGGGTATAATGGTTGGGGCGGAGGTCCAAATGGTGTGAAAACTCTTTCATGTTGTTAAGTAAAAAGCGATTTGCTTGTTTGCTGAAAAAGGAACAATGATGTGAGATCATGCGATCCAGTTCAAAACGAATGGTTCTGAGCCCTCCCCGCGCCCCCCTCCAGTATGTTCTAACAGACACTGTGTCATGATTGATTGTGTTTGGAGCTTCATTTTTGTTGCTCTTTGCAGCTGGAAGAATTGTGGTTTGTTTTTTGAAGGCAGGGTGTCAAGGGGAAGGATGATTGCAATCTCCTTGGCTTTCTTTGCAAGCCCTTGAGTAATTAACATCCAAGCTTGAGGAATTGCATACCAATGTGTTGATAAGTGGCTCGGCAGGAGCATGGAAGGGCTCAGGCCTCCAAAAAAAGCAATTTTCCCCCCTCATGATGGGCTTCCTTTGTGCACAGTTTATCTACAAAGACCAGGGTACAGATTGCTCCGACCTGGCTAGCTCAATGTTATCGGATATCAGAAGCTAAGCAGGGTTGGCCCTGTAGTACTTGGATGGGAAACCACCAAGAAAGGCCAGAGGCAGGCAATGGCAAACTACAGCCAGTTTGGTGTAGTGGTTAGGAGCCTAGACGCCTTCGATTCCCCACTCCTTCACACGCAGCTGCTGGTGTGACCTTGGGTTAGTCACAAGAACGTAATTATAGTAAGTCAATTGTTGTACCTTCTCTTGTTAAATGTTTGCATTGCAACTTGTGATTTTGAATTGTCCAGGGGTCATTTTGTAGAAGAAGAGATGGAGGAGCATAACTTATTTGCATATGCCACACACCCTGACATCACCGGAAGTGTGTCAGAAGACAACACCCACCACTCAGGCTCCTCAGGACTGTTTTGGATTGCTAGCTATTTGGGGGGGGGGGGACATGAGGTTCTGCTCCCACAGAGGAGGGAGAGCTTGTACCTGAATAAAACTTGGTCTTAAAGGTGCCATTGGGCTGTTTTGGATTGCTGGGGGGGGGGGC